TCTCTTCCAACCAAACCAACCCCATGACTCTGACACACAGATGCTCTGTCACCCCTCACTGGCTCTCCAGCTCTCCCTGAACACACAAGCCCATGGATAACCCAGTGTGGGCTCTGGGCAGTCTCCATTAGCTGTGCAGGCCTGGGAATTAGAAGACCCTCTAGACACCAGTGAAACCTAAAGACACATAAACAGAGTGGGCAGGAGGGCAGACACCCACCCTCAGCAGGCCCAGGATTGTGCCATCCTGGAGCTATAAGAAGATTTAAGACCTCTGGGATGAGCACAGAACAGGTTTTGATGGATCTCCTCAGAGAGTTTAGAAATAATCCTCCCTTTCCCAGCGGTCTGCTGGAGAGGAGAGGGCAGAGCAAAGAGCTGCTGCAGGGCAGGCTCTGGAGCTACCCCAAGTGGCTGCAGCCCTTCTCCTGGAGTCTTACTGGCAGTGTCTGAAGGCACGTGCTCCTCTTCCAGGTAGTACTTGATCTTCTGTAGGTCTTCTGCAGAAAACCTCCACTTGTCCTCAGCGCGTGCAGGTGGCACTTTGGGAGGGGGCTTTTTTCGGGCAGATCCAGGGGGAGGTGACACCTGGCAGGACACGGGGAGTGAGCCAGTGATGAGGCCCTCAGGGATCTTCTGGGCGAGGACCTTCAGGCCTGGAGGCAGAGAGATCACCCGTGATCAGCCAGCAGCAGCTCAGGTGGGACCCGTGGTTCCACCACGGGCACAGAAATCGCTCGGCTGAGCTGCACACCCAGCTCCTCCCCACCTCCAGCTCACACCACCCTTGCTCTCTCCTCTCCACCCGCCCAGCTGAAGTCTCCAGGAGTCCTGCTCCTCCCCACTCACCTCCAGACAGCATGAACAAGTTCTCAAAGCCCCTCTCACACATGGTGGTGGCAGCCTGGCTGGCCAACCTCTCGTCGTTGTCGTACAGGATGATGATTTTGCCATGGGCGTTTTTCTGGCAGGTAGAAGAGCTAAGGAGTCATTTGGAAACTTCTGGGTGGCCATAAGACCTTTTAGGACAGAAAAAGAGACAAGCAAAAGGGACTGGAGAGAGAGAAAGAGACTCCCCAGCTGATTTGTGTGTGTCAGGCAGGAATATCTTCAGTTCAGTGCTGCTTTAAGCCTCATTTCTCAGTAGCTGGAGCTTCCAGATGCTGGAAGGACAGAGCCCAGTGTCCTCAGGAGAGCAGCCCCTGCAGCAAGTGCCCACCACTGCTTGGAAGATTGGTTTGGAAGAGGTAAAAGCAAGAAGCAGCTTCATTTATAACCTTCCCTCTCCCCTGCAGCCCTCACAAGCTAAAACCTAGGAAACCATCAGCTTTGTCCTGGTCACAACTGCTCTAGCTCTGAGTAATTTTTTCAAAGCCTCCCCAAAATCCCCCAATCCCTTTTTTTTTTGGTTATTTATGTAAAGGATACATATTCCAGAATACTGTTTGTGTAGGGGTTCATGGTTCTGGAGAGTGTTGCAATAGGGTAGGAATGAGCTGCAGAGGAAAACAAAGAGAGAAACATCAAACAGCAGCTGAACATCCCTCAGACAACCTGCAACACAACCAACAGACTTGTTAGAGTTCAACAGACTTCAAAACCCACTGAATGGAGTTCAGTCCAGCTGCTGGCCAGTCACAAACTGTGTCCCCAGGCCTCAGTTTTGGGGACAGTCTTGTTCAATCTCTTTATCAATGCTCTGGACGAGGGGATTGAGGCACTCTCAGGATGTTTAGAGATGGCACCAAGTTGATCTGCTGGAGGGTTGAAGGCTCCACAGAGGGGTCTGGCCAGGCTGGATCCATGGGCTGAGGGTCAACCAGGCCAAGGGCAGGGTCCTGCCCTGGGGTCACCACAACCCCCTGCAGCTCCAGGCTGGGGCAGAGGAGCTGGAAAGTGCCCCAGGGAAAGGCCCTGGGGGGGTTGGTTGGCCCAGGGAGGTGCTGGAGTCCCCATCCCTGGAGGGGTACAAAAAAACCTGTAGATGTGGCACTTGGGGACATGGTTTAGTGGTCACAGCAGTGTTAATAGTTGGGCTTGATGATCTCAGAGATCTTTTCCAAGCTCAGTGCTTCTGTGACCAAGGGATTGACACCAGCTCAGGCCCCTCACCCCCTTCCAGGAAAGGTGGGCGAGAAAACTCTGAGAGAATTCTGCCCCCCAGGGATGCCACGCTGTGAGGGGAGAGATGAAGCCAGGCAGAATATGCAGAAAGAGCTGAATTTAGGAACCTGGCTGAGACTCTGCTGCTGAGGGACTCCTCACCTCCAACAATGTGGCACTGGTCGTACTCGTCTCGGTCCCGCACGTCCAGGAGCAGGAAGGGGCAGTCAGGGTAGGGGGAGTCCTTAGCCCCACTCTCCACTCTCTTGGGAGCATCCTTGTCTATATCCAGCTCCCCAACACCACTTATCACACTGCAAGAGGAAAGAGGAGGTTGTGGTGCTGGCCCTCTGAACACTTCCCACCTCATCCCCAGGGCAGAGGCATCTTCCAGCAACCATCCCAGTTGCTCAGCTACGTTCCAGTGTGGCCAGAGACCACAGAAAAACTAGAGAGTGTCTATTCCAGGCTTCCCAGTATGTGGTGAGAGACTTGATTTCATTTTTATCCATATAAAAATGAAACCAAGTACAGCTTTGCTGTGTGAGCAGACTTTTCTGGATGAGTAAGGCCGGGTGTTTTACCTCCTAGGTGACTCTGAGGTGAGGGAGGAGAACTCTAAGAAGCTGCCAACGTTGAGGTCTCAGCAAATCTGAGACACTAAAAGACCACCAGTCATCTGGTGAGGGCAACAAAGCTGCTGGGGAAGGGTCTAGAGCCCAAGTGTGGGGAGGAGCAGCTGAGGGAGCTGGGGGTGCTGAGCCTGGAGCAAAGGAGGCTCAGGGGAGACCTTCTGGCTCTGCACAGCTCCTGACAGGAGCCTGGAGCCAGGGGGGGGTCGGGCTCTGCTCCCAAGGGACAAGGGACAGGACAAGGGGAAGGGGCCTCAAGTTGCCCCAGGAAAGGTTTAGTTGGGATCTGAGGAACAATTTCTTCCCCTGGAGGGGTTTCCAAGCCGTGGAGATGTGGGGTGAGGGACACGGGGCAGTGGGGACCTGGCAGTGCTGGGGGGATGGTTGGACCTGATGACCTTGAAGGTCTTTTCCAACCAAAAAGATTCTCTGATTCCAAGCAAAGCAAGTCTATGATTCTGTGACCTACAGCACTACACAGATCATTTCCATTTCTTCACTAGATTGGACAGGACAAGAACAGAAACATCCAGAGACTCTTCCTGGTCACTGAGCTGTTGGCTTTGACAGGTGATGACTGAGCCTGCCAGGCCTGTCTCAGCTCTTCTTCCAACATCTGCACAGGTACAGCAAGGGAAGGGCTGAGCCAACGTGTCCTCTTAGTGTCCTCCTGGGATCTGTGCCCTGGCCCAGGGATGTGGTGGGTTTGGAAACTGGACTCTCATCCTCAATCCCAGGACAATCTGTTCAGATCACCAGGAAGGGCAGTTACTGAGCTCACCAGAGCTGTTCACAACATGGACTCTTGAACCCAGGGACCTGGAGCCAACACCACAAACAGATTTCCTTGGCAGCCACTGGCCAGGAGGGAACAGTTTTGGGTCACAGCCACAAATCAAACAGGGTCAGACAGGGAAAGCTGCCAAGCCCCTCTTCTCCCTCACACCCCTGACCTGCAAGCTCAGGCTCTGCTGAGAAATAAGCCACTTAGCAGCAATTTTAAATAACCAGCTGGATAAAAAGAGTTCTCTGCTAAGAGAGGAAGAAAACTGTGTTCTGAGCAGTCACCTCTGCAGCGTGGATCGACAGGAGTCCCCAGCTCCTGTGCTGTTCAGGAACAGGACTGGACTTGGTGCCCCCTCAGGGCTTCCTTTCCCATTTGTCCCCGTTGGGACTTCAGCCTCTGAAGCAGCAGAACCATCATCTGGGCAGGGAACAGGATACAAGGAGTTAAAATGCTGCAGGGAATCCATGAGCAGGTTTTAAGGGCAGTTTCTATTCTTAGAAGAGAGTCTCTCAAAGGCAGCCTTGGCTTATCTGCTTCTAAGGGTGACTTACCAAGAGCCTTGTATTAAAAATAACAAAGAGCTGTATGATTTTTAGGGGCTTGAGCTCTCCTTTTAAGAATTCAGTGAAAATTTAACTCAGTAGATACCACACCCCAAGAATTATCCCAAAAAACCTGGCACCATGAGGCCTTTCTTATTTCCAAGGCTTTATGGTTTAGGAGTGTTTCTGCTCCCAAAGTGGAAGAGCTGCAGGTTGAGCTGTTTTTTTTTGATGAAAAGCCTCACTGAATAGTCAGCTGGGTCTGTCAGGACACAGATCACCACAGGCCAACGACCTCCAGCCCTTCCTCTTGGTGCTGACAAGAAATATTGTTACCTGCCAGCTTGTGGATCTCCTCGTTTGTCACTTCTAAGGTTTCATCAGAGAGAGAGGCAACCTGGATGACCTGCAGGAAAGCAAAGGGAGCAGGGAATGACAGCAGGGATCAGCTTCAGCCAAAACCACCCTCAACCCAAAATACATTTAATTCAATGCAACTTCCACTGCAGGTTTCAGTGAACAGAAGTTGCAGCAACAAAATGACCTTGGGTGGAGTTAAAAAGTCACTGACTGTGACTGAAATCTTCAGAGCATGCACTGCACTGGCTAAAACTGCCCAGGTGAATTGGTCTGGGAGAGCAGACCTGTGGCAGTCACACACTAAATGAGTTCAGCACCCCCCTGAGAGTCCCAGGATTGCTCTTAAGGGAGGGGAAGCAAAGATATGAGTCTGCAGAATCCCCTTCCTTCAATATCTGCAAGTTTAACCTTCCATCCCTCCTCTTTTTATAGGACAACTTGTCTTTTAAAGAGTTTTTACTGATTTTCTTGTATCAACACATAAGCAGCACACAACTCTTGCCTTACTGATTCAATTTTCTTTTTTGAATATGTTTTTTCACTGCTTTTAGCTTTTAAAAAAACCCATAGCCTTGGAATCAAAACCTTCCCACCCTCTGCAGTTACCAGGGAGGGCTTCAGGCTGGGCCAACATGCCACACAGCTCCATGAGATCAGCTCTGAATGCTACTTGATTTAGTCCTTTTCTTCTCTAAGAGGCTTGAAGATACTCTTAAGTTAAGGGAGGAAAAAAAGACAGGGGGAACTAATTTGAAAGACAGAGTCCCTGCAAACTTCAATTTGCAGCTAAGAGCATTTGACTGCTCTGAAGGCAGAGGTTTGGTTTAATTAAGGGAAAACTGTGAGGGCAGAAGAAGCCAATACAGAATGACATGCTCAGGCTACACAAGAACAGGAAAAAAAAGCTTTGGACAAGCTGTTCATGGAAGATAAAACTTGGAGAGATCAGAGAAGGAGCTGCACCTACCAACTGGGCAAGAGTCGTCACCTTCAGCCTTTTAAACAGCTCATCCTTTTTATACCTGTAATCTTCAAAAACAAAGCAGACAATGTCAATTTTCAGTTAATTCCCAGCTTTGGCAAACACCCAGTAATGGGCTTAGCCCCAGCTCTTCCCATCAAGGCAGGATTTCTGGGGGGCTAAGCTTGAACTGAAGGATTGGAGCAGCAAACCTGGAGGTGCGGTGAAAAGCAAGATCAGTTAGAAAGAGACTTTGTCCAGGCAAAGGTGCCTTACTCTGTCTCCTGCTCTTGCTGGGTGGAAGGAAGGAGTTCCATGGATTTATCCCCTTGCTGCTCTCTCAAACAGCAGTGTTTAAAGTGTTTAGTCTGTGTAAATCACAGCAGAACATGGTCACAGGATCTCAGGCTCTTCAAATTCTCAAGTCAACACATACGTCGAATTTATTGATTAAAATGCTCCTTTTTTTTTCCCCTTCCACAGGATCTGCTGATTAAATTCTGATTCCTACAGCTTGCTGATATAAAAATATCTAGAGGAATGGAAAACTGCCAGAAGTTAAAGCAGGAAGCTCAACTGGACTAATTGAATCTGAAGCCAAAGCTTAGGTAGGGAGAAAAGTGAGTGGAAGGACTGGCAGAGACCCAGAGCAGAGATTAACAGCACTAAATAAGTGATGACAAGGCTGGAGGTCTGATGGCATCTGGATACCTGAGATGTGTAAACAGGAGGAAGAAAGAAGCCTTCTAGTGTGAAACAAAAGGGTGTATGTGGTAGGAGAGAGGAGCTTAGACAATTATCATTAGGAACATCTTGATAGGAAAGAGCCTCCCATGGGAAGCGATCGAAGCATCGTCCTCTGGGAACTCTGCAGCTCAAAAGAGAGCAGAGGAGGGGGAAAAAACCCCCACCATGCATTTTTCTAACAATTTGAGTCACTCTTGGAGGACACTCCAACCTGGCCTCTCTCCAGCTGTCCAGCTAAGAGGGCTAACAGAGAACAGCACCTTGAGCAAATCCAGCCAGTTAAGCAACTCTAAATCCTCTAAACCCATCTGCTGAACGCCCCGTTAGCTCCAGCCAGGGAAGGTGGAGGAAAGAGGGGGGGGAAAAGGCTCCAAATCCATAGCCCTGTAACCACCACCCCAAAAATTACCACAAGATGAGCTTATGGAAACCCTCAAGCTGGTGTGCCCTTAGAGAGGGGCTGTGGAAGTGCTGGAGGCTGAGATGTCTTCCCAAGACAAGCAGAGTTCACATCCTTCCCAATCTGATTTGATTTAATTCCTATCCCTTCCCTCTTAAAGATGCTCCCTGAAGAGGCAGGCTAATTAATTTTCAGCCTTCAGAGCAAGCAGAGCTCCCCAGTTCAACACCCTACCCTAGATAATGTTTATTAGGCTGTGAAGTGTCTACTTGCTACTCAATTTGCCTCAGAAAGGAGCCTACCCAAAACACGTGAGTGCCCTACACAGGTCAAACCACGTGTCTGAAGCACAAGACCTGGGCATAAACTACATTTCTGAATGCCAAATCACTTGCAAATGACCCCCCTGGTTCTTGCAAACCCACCTGGTTTCAAGCCTCAAGCTCCACTTCCTAAAGCCTCCCTTGAATTTGGAAACAACAGCAACAATTACAGCCCATTTCCCCTGCCCGACACATAAACCCACCTCCAAATGATCCAAACTCCCCCACCAGGGACAAAAAGAGCCCTTCAAGAAGGGGAAGAGTAAGAAATAAACTTCATTTAGAAGGAGAAATAAAAGCAGCAAAGCTTTTGGAGGGCTGGAGGTACATAAACAGTGACAAAGCAGGAGCACGGTCACAGGGCTCATAAAAACAGCTGCTGGATGGTTTCCACCCACCTCAAACAAGGGTTATTTACCCCAGAATGAGCCTGATCAACCTAGATCTTGCTTTTTCCACCCCAAACGACTTCTAGCAACAAGAAAAACCTGAAAAGTCTTCCAGCAGTTATCAGAAAACTCAGAAGTGCTGCTTCTGACAACAAAAGCCACAGCACAACCTACCCGGCTCCGTCCTGGAAGGTCCATTTGGATTTTCAGCCATGATTTTTGGCTTCAGGGAACTGGTCTGAAGCTGTAATGATTGTGCATTCAAAGAGGTGCTCCTCAGGGCTTCAGAAACGAGGGAAGCAACACCAGAGAAAGGGAAGAGACTGGGTGCCTCTCCTCAAGTCAACCCTCCCAAGGATAACTCGCCGTGGTTCCAGCTCTCTCCTCACTTCTGGTCCCACACTCTCAAGTTACACCAGAGACAGAGAGTTGCCTGTAGTGGGTATTTAAAGTCGTGTCCAAACGGTGTCATCTATCCATGAGAAAACAAGGGGGAGAAGTTTCTACACTGCCTGGGAACACAAGGTGTCTATTCAGCCCATGTAGAATGAGAAAAAGTTTCTCCTGGGCTCCAGACCCGGGTTGAAGACAAAAGAACTCCCTGAAACAAAAATGATTCACAGCAGAGAGGGAAAAGCAACCAGCCCCACACAACACCATTTTCAGGGCAGATAAAAAGGGGTGGCAACCCAGCAGTCAGCACTGAAATCCTACTCAACACAAGAGTTTGGAAAACAAGCTCAGTTCTTTCTTCATTTTTCCCCCCCAAAAAACCCCCAACAAACCAGCTACAAAGGACCTTTCTGCACAAAGCTGAGCACAGATTTGTGGGAGGTTTGTGACCACCCTTCTAAGCTGAACACTGACACATGAGACCCACTTAGAGTGCTCCTCTAAGAACTAAAGCAGAGCGTTCAAAATCCTAATTAATCCTCGTTAATGGGGACAGGGTTTCTTTCACATCAAGAAATGCAGCTTTGGGGTTGAGCAGCTTCTCCTGGCTCTCTCTCTGAAAATAAACTGAAAATAAACTAGGAAAACATGACCTTTCTCAACAAGGATTATTTAAAAGCCTATTTTCAGTGGAAAAATGAACAAAACCTCAAATAATTTTGACTTTTCATTAGCCTGAACAACCCAAAGCCTTCAAAAGAGTGTTTAGCTTTGCTGAAATCAGTGAGTTCTGCAGGAATCAGCTTCTCTTGGTCCTTTCTAGGAGTATTTGGATAGAAATCCAAGCATACAAAGATGATAAAGAGGTAAGAGATCTCCAGTTGTCATCTAAAAGAGAAATAAATTCTCAGAAGCCCAGTCTGGGTCTTCCCAGATGAGTCTAGTCCAGATTTCTTAGTCCACAGAACTTGGTCCTGCCTGGTTTCCATTCAGGAATGAAAAAGTGCAGAAAGAAGGATCTGGAAAGACTCCTGGAGCTTTCTGCCTGGTTCCTGGAGTTCAACCTGCAAAGCACTGGTGAGAGGTGGAGAAAGAAGGTGCAGGACAGAGTGGAAGGTGCCCAGCAAAGAACCCTGGGGGAGCTTCTCTGTGTCCTGCTGCTGTGGGTCCTGGGGCTCCTTCCTGCCAGGGGTTCCTGGGGGACTCATCAGAGAGGTTTCCAAGCAACTGGAGGGGCTGGGATTCAACCAGATCCTGAGTGATCTTCCAGTTTGACACTAACCCACCACGAGTTACAGTCT